GAGGAGGAGGAGGAGGAGGAGGTGGAGGTGGAGGAGGTGGAGAAGACTTGTGTAAATTATGAAAGCTGCGGAAGGTAAAAGGCTGCCTGTCTTCTCAGGTGTGGTGAAGGGGAGGCTGCCGGGGGGACGTCCCCCAGGATGCCAGGTGATGACCTGGGGAGGTGATGAGCAGCCACAGAAAGGGTCAGCTGGGCCGGCCTCCAGGAGTCTCTTCCGGGCCGGGCCTGCAGAGGAGGCTGAGGGCTTCCAGAGACCAAAGCAGGGTTTTCCCCTCTCGCCCCCACCCCCAGGTTTGTTGAGTCCACTGACAAATAGTACTTGTACACACTCAAGTTTAAAAGATAACTGTAATAGCCACAAAAATAGTCATCCATTCAGGGTAAAGGGTTGCCATGGAGACACGGATCCTGTGATCCTCAGGGGAACTCAGATGACCCGGATGGAGAAGGTTCCAGCGCCAGACTCAGGGCGCCATGTAACGGGGCGCAGCAGTGGGGTGAGCTGGGGCACGGGGAAGCCCCTGTCAAGGGCAAAACACAGACCCACAGGGTGTTTGTGGATCGTTTCCATGGATACCAAGGGGCCGTAACTGTCCTGGGACTTTTCAGGGATTGAAAGCCCTCTCTGTCTGTCTGTCTGTCTCTGTCTCTCTCTCCCTAATGCATTGGCTCACATGATGCGTGTGACACTGCAGGGCACACGGGGACAGGAAATGCTCTGCTCTGATTCCTGAGGAAGACCCCGCAGGTGGGTGAAGAGCAGGCAGCAGGGGCCCTGTCGGGTCGCACCATGATGCTCCACGCTCTGTGCACTCTGGAACCATGTGGAGGATTTATTTTCCTTGGGGGGGGCAACGATGTGGCCTTCTCATTCACATGTGACGGAAATGTAGCCAAGACAGGCTCCTGACCCCCACCACGCGAGTCATCAGCCCAGGACCCCTCTCGGGACATTCTGTGTCCCCCACTCCCCGGGACACGGGCCAGGGGCTCCAGAGAAAGGCTCGTCCTGTGCCCGACGAGGGAGCCCTTCCCCAGGCTGTGGCCTGCTCTGTGGGTCCCTGCTCTGCTGCTAGGGTCCGTGGCAGGGCTTCTAGCCCCCTTGGGTTATGAACTCTCCTCCGGGGTTCCCTGTGGTGAGTGCGAGTTTTAGCGGTCAACTGGTGAATAACCGAACTCCATGGCTGGAAATAGCTGCTGTGCCTGGGCCAGGAGCCCCGGTGCGGCAGGGTCCGGTGTGTGGAGTCCCTCAGGGTGTGGCCCCAGGGGCCTGCTAAGCCCCACACGGCAAGCCAAGAGAGTCTGAAGTCTGCTACGAGACAGGGTCACACGCCTGTCTTCACATGTTCTAGGAGGCTGAGACAGGAAGATCACAAGTTTCAGCCCAGCCTAGGCCACTTGGCCTCAAAATTTAAAAGACAAAGGTGTGGTGAAGAGGTCAGGTGCAGGGAGTGTAGCTCCCTGCTAAGGCCCCAGGCTGGACTCAATGCCCCATACAGCACCAAAAAAAAAAAAGAAGAAGAAAGAAAGGTTTTTATGTGATGTAACCTAATCACGGATTGACCTTCCACAGCCCATCTGCTGGCTAAGAGCAAGTCACCCCCACACACCGAGGGCCACAGCTCCCACAGGCGGGGTCCCAGGGACGTGGCCCCCAGGGCTGCCCTTTCCCTGGCAGAGTCTTAGCAAGGCCGGACTGCTCACTCTCCTCGCCGCTATGTGTGCCCCTTAAAATAAATACAAGTGATTTTGTTTCCTTTTTATTTTAACGGAGGATCGAACTCAGGGCCTTGCACTTGCCAGGCACATCACGAGCTACATCCTGGGCGTTTTGTTTGTTTTTAGCAAGAACCCAGTTAGGTCATTTTAGCCAGAGCAGCGACAGCCAGGCCCAGGAAGGGAAGATGCTGGCTGCTTCTGAGCTGCGGTTTATGCTGTGTGGAGCGAGGTCCGTGCAGGCGCGCTCAGCTCCGAGTTCCCACTGTAGGACCGCGTTTGCCTCAGAAGAAGGGGGTCACCCCTGTCCTCTTCAGAGTCCCCAGAGAGCGTGGACGAACCCAGAGAAACAGCACGACACACGACTCCCCGTAGCTGCCTGTGTTTCAGGTTCGCTGCTCAGGGAGTTGCTGTGGGAGTTGCTGAGTCCCGCCGAAGTTTGCTCTGATTTCTGAGACATCGCAGTCAAGGGGGAAGACAGAAGACGCAGCCACGGCTTTGTCCGCCTTCCATTCTCTTCGCTGGACACTGGCACCCACCCGCAGGGCCGTGGGGGCCGAGCAGGAGAGGCTCCTTTCCTGAATCCCGGAGGCGGAAGATCTGCAATCTAGAAAGATTCCCAGGCCTCGAGGGTGAGATGTGGCCCTGGGTGGAGAACAGCATCGCTGCGAAGCCTGGATTCTCCATCGGGCGAAACAGCACGGCGCACCTCCCAGCGGTGCCCACAGCTCGCCAGGCCCCGGCCCATTCCC